ATAAAATAAAAAAGTAATTCTTTTTTTATGAGAGACGTGTTAAAAAAAAACTTATTCTTTGTAAAAAAAATAAGTTTATTTTTAATATTTTAATATTTTAAATTATTAAAATAAATAAAAAGGTGTGTCTGGCATGCAGCCCACACTTCATCTAACGGCAAAATGCTGTTGGATGCAACACTTTCCCTTTTTTTATTTTTTTTTTATTTTTAATTTAAAATTTATTTTATTTGAGTATAAAAAATGTGAGTTTAATAAAATAATATTTATATAATTTTTAAGAATATTTTATGTATTAGGGGTGATGTGTTCTATTAGCCGTTTTATTAGTCGTTGTCATTGTACATGCTTCTATGTTCATATAAATATATATTATATTATTTTTTTATAAATAATTAATTATGATATTAAAAATATTAATTTATAGATTTATTTTAGTTTGTCAAATAATAAATATTAATAATTTTGTTATTTATCAACTACCTTTATAGTTATTAGCTTTTTCTAATTGTCAAATTAAATTGAGATAATATCATAACAAACAGTATATATATAAAAGTTTTTATGACCCTAGCACTTTTACATGTGGCTATATAGATGGTAGATTACTCTAAGTTGATAATTTATATTTTGTAATTTGATATAATTTATATTACATAATTTTTTTTTATTTTTGATAAATTTTTTTCTTAGTTTTAATTCTTTTGTAATAATTTTCTTTCCTTGCTGTAGTTGATAAAGCAAACAAGTGTAGGGAGGAAAGCAAGATTTGAAAAGGAAACGCAGGTGCAGGTCGTGGTTATGGCAGCCCTTTCATTTGTTAGGGTAACATAATTTTTTTTATATTTTATTAATTTATAATTTTTACATAATTAATTATAATATTTTAAAATATTTATATATAAATTAATTTCCATTTAAGAAAAAATATTAATTATTTTATTAATTATTAATTATTTTTATTAATTGAATTAAAATAAAAATTAAATAATTTATATAATCTTAACAAATTAATACATCATCGTAACCACAGCCCACATTTATAATATAAAGAATAGTTAAGTAGGTTTTCATGGGTTTTTATTTTGATTAGATATGTTTGATTTTTCTCCTTAACTTTTTTTAAAATTTCGAGTTCATCCTTTTAAAGTGAGCAGTGCTAGGGGCACTCGCCTCTTGCACTCTCCGGCCAACACTTCCCCTCATTGGGCCACGTAAGGTTGTTTTAAGCTTTGGAGGCAACCTCTTGCAAACTAAAATAACGTGGCCCAATGAAGGGGGAAGTGTTGGCCGGAGAGTGCAGGAGGCGAGTGCTCCTAGCATCGCTCTTTTACAGTATATAGTACAGCAATTTCGATTCTCTTCACCCAGGACGTTTGCATCTTTTCTAGGTGTCCTTACTGCTCTATTTCCACTTATTTTGTTCGGCCATCAAATCAAGCTGGACATACGGAAATCGTTTGCACGTTATTCCAACCCATTGCGCATGCCTTTAAACAAAAATAGTTTTTTCCCTTACTGATCATTTTAGGGTTTCAGTTCCATTAAAACAAGAAGAAAGCAGATTGCCTTTTGAATTTGATCTCTAGTCTAGCCACTGATGTTGTACAGTCAAAATCATCGGTAGTTATAAAACGTTAACACAAGAGGTTTAAGAATCGTGCACGCTGCTGCAATGCCTCAAAGAGCAATATCAAGGAAACATGCATGTGTGGGGAATCACCAGAGAGAAAAATGTTTAAGTAGGAAAAAGGAATTGAATACATCAATGGACTTGAAGTGTTTGCTAAAATCCCACTAGCTACTTCATATAAGATTATTGTAACGTCTTTCAATTCTTCTTCTTTTTATTTTTATTTTTGAACAGCACCGTCTTTCAATTCATATTGCCTTCTATGTGTTTTTTTGGGCCAACTATTCAATTCATTACCTTGATCACTCATTTCGACATATGTTTTCCTAAGTTGTAAGTTCGATGGTATGGTGGAGTGATAATTTTGGGTAAACTGTGATGTTTAGGGTATAAGTCTCAAGATTAGTATAAAAAATTAAAATTTATTAATTTATTAAGTCAATATAAGTTATATTTTTTAAGATTAGTATAAAAAATTAAAATTTATTAATTTATTAAGTTAATATAAGGTATATTTTTTAAGATTGTTAAAAATGAATTAATTTTAAAATAAGAGCAAATTAGTTAAAAAATACCATGATCATAAAAAAAAAAAAGAAAGAAAGAAAGAAGAAATATTGTTGTGTTAAAGAACATAAAATGACACTACTTGTCCAAGAATGATAGATATTTTCTTATTTAGAACTTATAATTATAGATTAATTGTCCTTTTTTCATATATATTTTATGGGAAACAAATTCCAACTTAAATATATCACTATTCTTTAACTTTAATTATTCATCTTATCAAACAGACTTAAATAAGGGTTTTTTTTTATTCTTTGTGCTCTATCTAGGGTTGGGGCAAAAGTGGCGGGTTTCTCCTTCGGGTCCCTCTCCAGTAGCGGAGCTCCTCCCTTTCTTCTTTCCTCTTACCCTCTCCTTCCCCTTCTTGCTCTCTCCTCCACCTTCGTCGCCCGCCTTGCTTTGGAAACTTCAGCCCAAGGGACCACAAGGTGGTGGCCTATTCAGATCAACATTTGGGGGTGTTTTTCGAAAGCTTCGACTAGCATAAGGAGGAATTGATCCTACTTGTGGTTGGTTTTTCTCCTATTTATCGTATAGGGTATTTCCCAGGATGGGATTTTCGCCGGGATCAAATTCGGCAAGGTTAGGTCATTCCAATTTCCAATTTGGCTGTCGACTCCGAAGGGAAAAGGATGTTGTGGGTGACGTCGGTTATGGGTGGCACGAAAAGCATGGTGTTCAAGCCGGCAAAGGGGCTCTAGTTCCCTTAATGGGTCTTGACAATATGGGATTAGAGAGGTTTAGCAAAGTTGAAAACCTAATTGGGGATATTCGGTGGCAATTGGGATGCCTGTGCTTGTACAAAGGATCGGCAAAATTGGTGAGGCATCGCATTCAAGGCTAGGTAGCATTGTGCTTGTACAGGGGGTTCTTTGCCCTTTTTTTTGTTGGTTAATTTTTAGAAATAGATTGGGAGACAACATGTAGGTTGGAGATTGTTTGTTGTCAGAATCCTTGCTCTCCTCACAAAGCTGGTTAAATAGGTGAGGACGTCCAGTAGCTTCCAATGCTTAAAGAGACTTTCCTTTCTACCTTAGTAGCATTATTTAACCCATACAGCGATTGCAATAGCAATATCTAGTTACAGATGACTCTCTTTACTTAATTGTCTATATTC